TGCTTAGGGACCGGGAGGGTCGGGAGGTGATGGGAGGAGGAGGCGGCGGAGGAAGGGGGTTGAGGGGGGAAGCAGCGTCCGGTCCGTCCGCGCCGACAGCTCCGCCAGACCTCCACCTCCCCCAGTCCCGCCGCCGCCGGGAGCTCTACGGGGCGAGGAGGGACGTCCACGGAGCGCCGGAGCAGAGGGGAGAAAATCCAAAACGAGTCTACTCAACCTCGCCTGGGCTCCGAGGCCCCGCCATGGAGACCGGCACAGTGCGCAGGCGCGGCCCCGCCCAGAGCGCGCAACGCGGGCCGGAGAGGAGACCGCTGTCGGCCACCGTCGTCCGTTCCCACTCGGATTGCGTTCCTTTTTTTCGCCCTGTATTTTTCTCTCATCTGGATTTAAACCCTGAAGGTAGAGGCGAGAGCCCACGAATAGTCTAGGCAGAGTGACTCTGCTTGTGAGTATGCGTGGTCAAATAAACGCGGAACGGCTTTAGTAAATTAAAGCTGGAACAAAGAGGAAATATAATAAATATCTGACTGGAGTCGGGACGGTTTAATAAAAATGAGGGGGGGGGAGCATTCCAGACAAAAAAAAATTAAGTAATCTCATTATGCAAGTAAGATATCCTGAGGGCAGGGTGGCAAAGAAGACTACAGTTCCCAGCGGTTACAGCGTCTGAGAATCGATGCTTTCTGGGGGTTGTAGTATCTGGGACCCGAGTTTGAAATATCGGGTCTGAAGTCACCCTGTTATGTAATAAAAGGGAAGGCGAGAGAGAAGCAAATTTGATCGAGAGCACTCTCGATCCCAGGCCTAACTATATGAACAGAAAACTCCCTGGAGATGAAAGGGACGCTGTGTCTTTAAGGCTCGGCTGCTCTAATCGCTGGCGCCTCATCCGGGAATCGGTGGTTGATGTGTGCGGCCTGGGCTCCGGGCGGGCGCCGCGTGGTGGTGGAGCAAGCGGGGTCCCGGCCCTGGTGCAGGGTAACCGTGAGCCGCTTCTTTTTGTAAACCCGAGGGACCGGCGCTCGGAAGAGGGGCTCGTGGGACCGTTACCCCCCGCGCCTCTGTGGGCCAGTTTGCTGAGCACCCCCGCGATGGCCCAGCTCCAGACCCGCTTCTTCACTGACAACAAGAAGTGAGTACGCTGCGCCCCTCGCCCCTTCCGGGGGTCCTTTGCGAGGACTCCTTCCGCGTGACCCTGCGGGTCTCTGCCTTTGCCGCACTCACCTTTACACCCCCGACCCCCCGCTTCTTTTTTTGCTGGACTCCTCGCTGGACCGTGTTTTCCGCCCAAGCGGCAGCGGTACCTCTCGGGGGTTCCTCCGGGACCCACCTCTGGTATCGCCATTTAAATTGTGACCGTGGAGGAGCCGGAGGGCTGCGGGGCTGCCTCCAGCAGGAGGCACATTGTGTCATTGGGCCGTGAACCAAGTCGTTGCAGGCTGTCTGCCCATGATGTGTCCGTTTCTGAAAACACAGCTTCATTTTCTTTTTAAGTAGGTGGTAGACGCTGTTTTCCTAAACCAGGCTAGAAAGTGGAGCTCTGAAGAGGGGGTTAGTAAGACTGGGAAGTCACTCGGTTACAGATTTGTGGATATATATATACATAAATATATCTATCTGTGTGTATACATACGTGTATATACAAACATTTTTAACAACAGTCCCCAGGTCTGTAGCATTCATTTGAAACCTAATCACATCCTGCCTTATGGCGTGTTTGTAGCTTTTTGAGCTGACCTGGCAATTAATTTTGTTCATCCCATGCAGCAAAATGTCTGACATGTAGTAGATACCCGGAACATGTTTGTTGAATGAATGAATGAATGAATGAATGCACATTTGTTAAAATAGTCTGTGGACATAATCTTGATGTTTCGTTTTTGTTTCGTAGATATGCAGTAGATGATGTTCCCTTCTCAATCCCTGCAGCTTCTGAAGTTGCTGACCTTAGTAACATCATTAATAAATTGCTGCAGGCTAAAAATGGTAGGTAACATGTTCTGAAAAGTTACCACTAACTCCAGTAAATTCCATCACACTTTTATTTTCTTATTTTGGCCTTACTTTATAATACTGCATACATTTTATAATGGTAAAATTTATAAACTATAATATATGGGGTTCCCTGCTGATACTTTAAAAAATGCTTTGAAATAAAAAGTTTCCAGGAAAAAAATATTTTTAGGACTAAGGAGATAAGGTGGTTGAGATTTAGGAATAAAGATTTCAGTGTAATAGTTGTGACTGCTGAAGACGGCCAAGCTGGGTTGGCAGAGAGCAAACATCTGGATGCTTGGGCCCCCCTTGCTGTACTTCTACAAAACGGAATAACAAATGCCAGTGTTCATACTGCTATTTTTTTTAACTATTTAAGATTCATAAGAATGGGTAAAACATTTAAAAACATCTAAGAGTATCAAACCATTTATAAAGATACAAATATTAAACATAATGCTGGGTGAATATGTTATTAGCCCATAAAATTAATATAAACAATGTGTGCAACAATATTGATTAAACAAGATTGGCCATAATTTGATCATTGGAGTTTCATGATAGGTATATGAAGATTTATTATAAAATTTATTCTCCATTTTTGCATATATTTGAATTTTTCTATAATAAGATGGTTTTTAAAAAGTAAAATCACACATGAAATAGAAGATGTAAACACTTTATTCTGGAGAAACTCAGAGGCCACACTGGGATAATAGGTACCTGTTTGTTGTGGAGTCTCTCATAGACATCTCTGCCAATACCACTTCGGGTCCTCAGAGTGATGATTTTATTATGTGTTTTCTTTAGAGGTCCACAAACATGTGGAGTTTGATTTCCTTATCAAGGGCCAGTTTCTACGAATGCCCTTGGTCAAACATATGGAACTGGAAAACATCTCATCGGTAAGTTCAAATGCTTACTTGCTCTATTTTACTCAAGTTATTACCAGATAATGAAGGCGAACTCCATTTAGAATCAGGCTGAATCTACGGTAACCGGTATCCTTTTGATTACTTTTTTTCCTAGAAATTTGAATTTCAGTTTTTTATATACTCAAGTTTGAAATCCTCTCTTCTGAGAGTATATTATTGAAGAAATACAGATGAACGAATATGGAAAGATACCTTCATATCTGTGGAAGAATGGTCAAAAAAGGCAATAGCAAATATATATTTAGTTCTCATAAAGGTGTACAAAATGATTGTGCACCTAGAACAACTTTTTTTTTTTTTTATAATATATTTTATTGATTTTTTACAGAGAGGAAAGGAGAGGGATAGAGAGTTAGAAACATCGATGAGAGAGAGACATCGATCAGCCGCCTCCTGCACATCCCCTACTGGGGATGTGCCCGCAACCAAGGTACATGCCCTTGACCGGAATCGAACCTGGGACCTTTCAGTCCGCAGGCTGATGCTCTATCCACTGAGCCAAACCGGTTAGGGCTAGAACAACTTTTATAGCTTAGGGCTACTGTGATTTAAAATGATTTTTCTACCCTCTAATTTTCAAACTTTTATTAATTTTGTTCTTATTATTTAAAATATAATTTTGGGGGCAATTTTTAGAACTGTGGTAAAATACACATAAATTTATCATTTTAACCATTTTTAAGTTTATAATCTAGTGGCCATTAACTACATTCACAATATTATGCAACCATCACCACTATTCATTTCCAAGACTACTACTTCATCCTAAGTAGAAGCTCTGTATCCATTTAACAATATGCTTTTGTGATTTTATAATTTAACCATTTGACTGCTAAGAAGCGCTATTGCGCTCTTCTTATTTAAAACAAATTTATGTAAACAATTGGTATTTTTTAATTTTTGTTGTTGCAAAGCAATACAAGTGAGTTTATTGTATAAAAAGTGTTTTACATTTTTTCCCATACATGCGCAATTAGTGCTGCAGTTTTGGCATATGTCCGAAAAAATACGTCAGCAGTCAAACGGTTAAAGTTTCTTATATTCTTTTTTTAAAAATTTTTTTTATTGATTTCAGAGAGAGGAATGGAGAGGGAGAGATAGAATCTCAGTGATGAGAGAGAATAGAATCATGGATTGGCTGCCTCCTGCATGCCCCCCCCTCACCCCTTGGGGATTGAGCCCACAGCCTAGGAATGTGCCTTGACCAGGAATCGATTCATGACCTCCTGATTCATACCGTATTTGCCGGCGTATAAGACGACTGGGCATATAAGACGACCCCCTAACATTTCCACTCAAAATACAGAGTTTGTTATATACTCGCCATATAAGACTACCCCCTCTTCCGCACACCTTCCACACACCAAATAAAAGGTAAAACAATATCAGATTTGATTTTAACATTTTAATTTATATTCAAATGCTTATGACATGCAGGAAAACTGTCACAAGGCTGTATGTAATCAAACATATACATAAAACAGTGCAAGTTTATTACCGGTAAACATACCGGTAATTCACTAAAGAAAACACACTCTATAGACTGGTACCGTAGATGCTTCTCAGGAACACAGGCAAGCAGCCCACAACCTAGAGGGACTGTCAATGATAGAAGAAAGAT